AACACTGTCTCAAAAAACAAAACAAAACATAAAAGATATTTTGTGGATAGCTGGGTGGTGGTGGTGCTCGCTTTTAATCCCAGAACTAACTCAGGAGGCAGAAGCAGGTGGATCTCTGTGAGTTCGAGGCCAGCCTGGTCTACAGAGCTAGTTCCAGGACAGTCAGGGCTATACAGAAGGATCATAGACTTCAGGTCAAGACTCTATTTCAAAAAATAGTTTTCTCTTTTTATCTCTATTCTAGAAGTGTGTAGTAAGTTTTACTCATTTAAATTTTGGGGGGGGGAATTGAGACAGGGTTTCTCTGTAACAGTACTAGCTGTCCTGGAACTAGCTAGCCAGCATTTTTCAAAAGTAGTGATGTGTAGTTTCTACTTTTCAAATTGAGATTCACATGGTCAACTTATTCTATTTCCTGTGCTGACATTTGGAAATAAATTCTCCCAAATATTTGTGGCTACTTGCTGCAAAATTCTTCCTAGCCACGGGTGAACTTTTACTGCCTCACTTGTTGTTCATCGGCAGTTTCCTCTCTCTCCAGTGCCAGCCCTTCTCCAGATTCGGCCTCCCTCTTGCTGAAGCACATCCGCTAGTCACTTTGCACCGAAACTCAGCAGGACAGTGCAGGTGGAGAGGTTTGTCCTTTTCTCAGCACCTGAGATCATTACACACTGCCTCCTGGCATCTATGACATCATTACACACTGTCTCCTGGCATCTATGACATCATTACACACTGTCTCCTGGCATCTATGACATCATTACACACTGTTCTGGCATCTATAACATCACTACACACTATTGTGGCATCTATAGTTTGATCTGAGAACTTTATAAGCTGGTATTAACCCAAGATTTTTTTCCTTGTCTAACTTCATTTTGGTATGATCAAGAAGGGATTTGTTTTCACTAGTTCTGGAAACAACTTCTTACCCCGTTCAGCCTGAAGTCATTTCTGGGAAACGTTTGCCCAGCCTGCAGATCACCCTCCCCCACACTATGGATGCTCTCTTGTGGAACCTCAGTGTTTCACATGTTACTCTTCCTGCACAACATATGACACAACTTCTGTGTAGAAATCCCCATGTTGGTGTGGTTCCTCCCAACTTCCTTCTGTTTCCTTCTTCAGAGCTGTGCAGCCTCAGTGCGTCCACTACTGAGACTTGATCTGCGAGCATCTGTAGACACCGCACAGGAATTCACTTTCTCAAATCCAGTTGGTCATTTACCTCCTTTGGCAGTCAAGATACACTTTTTTCTCTTTCCGGTGGGACCAGCATCCCTGCCCTATGGGTGCCCTGCCCTATGGGTGCTGACTCCTCACAGGGTTCACTTCCTCAAACAGTGAGCTAAAGTGAGCTCGTGCCAGTAGAGTGTACTGTGTGCCCAGCGGAGGGCTTCTCTAGCTCTGCATCGGTGGCTGAAGGCAGCCTGACTCCGGCAGCCTGCACAGGCCCTGATCTCAGGTTTTGACTGGTTATAATCTTCTCCATCTGCCCCCTGGCGACAACAGCTCAAGGCAGCTGCGAGTTTATGTCCTATGTGAGTCTTGCCTGGATGGTGACTCCTGCCTTCTCCAGCACAGAGACACTAGAGTGGCCTCAGGAAAAGCCGCCATATTGTCCCAGACATCCCCAGACTTCAGGCTCCTCTCCCAACCTTCAAATAGCACTGGTTTATTCTTAGGTTTGGCTTGTAGCTCAGCTACATATTAACTCTGCTGTTCTGCCAGTCAGCATTAAGGGTGTGCTCTGCAGGAGGGAAGGGTCTTTTGGTCACACATTCACTCAGTCTGCTATCCACTGGTCCTTAGGGTGTCATGGTCATTCTGAGCTTCTGCTCTGCTGCCACCATTAGTGGTAGGGGACACCCTTTATCCACCAGGGAGACCCAAAGACTCATTCTTAAACCCAAACAAGAACAACTACTGTGTACCGGGACCCTGAAATAACATAAAGACCAAAGCCCCTGGCTTACTTAAGACAGTTACACACTTTAACAGGGGTCCTCACCCCAGGGAATCAGGCTACATGCGGTTGGATGCCTCTGAGCTCAGCATCCGAGTCTTAAGGGGAAGAGCAGGGGAGGGACGTGTCAGCTAGCTCTGGGTGCTACAGTAGCAACAGTTTGTGCAAAGCTGTTGCACATTCAGGAAACTCAGAAGCAGAAAAGAAGCCGTACAGCACAGGAGGCAGGAGAGTGCCCAGGAGGCAAGCGGGTGGGGGGCAGCAGACAGAGATAGGTCCTGATGTAGTGCCAGGTGATGATGTGTCCAGATATCCTGTGATTTAAAAACAAAACAAACAACAGCAACAAAAAACAGCCGGGCAGTGGTGGCACATGCCTTTGATCCCAGTACTTGGGAGGCCAGCCTGGCCTATAGAGTGAGTTCCAGGACACCAGAGAAACCCTGTCTCAAAAGCAAAACAAACAACAAACAAAAGAAGCTGGGAGCCGGGCGTTGGTGGCGCACGCCTTTAATCCCAGCACTCGGGAGGCAGAGGCAGGCGGATCTCTGTGAGTTCGAGGCCAGCCTGGTCTACAAAGTGAGTTCCAGGACAGCTTCCAAAGCCACAGAGAAACCCTGTCTCGAAAAACCAAAAAAAAAAAAAAAAAAAAAAAAAGAAGCTGGGAGAGAGATGGCTCAGTGGTTAAGAGTGCTCACTGCTCTTGCAGAGGCCCTGGGTTTGATTCCCAGCATTCATAGCAGCAGCTTAGAACCACCTGTAACTCCAGCTCCAGGAGATCCAGCACCCTCTGCTAGCCTGTCTGCACGACCATGCCCCCACACAGACATACACGCATTCACAGAATTTGAAAAGTAAAATGTTAAAAAAAAAAGTGTTCACCGGGGGTTGGTGGCACACGACTTTAGTCCCAGCACTCGGGAGACAGAGGCAAGTGGATCTCTGCGAATTCGAGACCAGCCTGGTCTACAAGAGCCAGTTCCAGGACACCTCCAAAGCCACAGAGAAACCCTGTCACCCTGTCTCAAAAAACCAAAAAAAAAAAAGTGTTCCTGCAGGTTAGACCTAGATTATCCAGAACCCTCCCAGGGTAGCTGTTCTTTCCAGAAACAAGGAACATCAGAGAAGTCCCACTTGATGGGGGAATGTGGCCACACCGGTGACTTTTCTAGATCTCCATTGTCTCTAAACAACACAGTAGAGTCTGACTGTGGACAATTAGCTGAGGCCTTACACAGCACACGTGTAAGGACACGCTGGCACTCAGAGTAGAGGCCCTGTCTCCCCCCCCCGGGCTGTGTCTCTGTCACCTCCACTTCCTGGAGGGAATCTGAGGTCTAGTAGTGTTCACAGTCCACCGTCCACCACTGTCGGGCAGGTGGGGAGGGGGGGAGGGGAGATGAGTCTGGCTCACCATTCTCAAAGGGCTTCAGCTGCAAAGCCTCCCACCCCAGAATGGAGCTTCCAGTGTGGACTGCGGAGATTTCTCCATCACCTCCCCTATGCGTTATTCTCAGGCGAGTGGAGGTGGGCCTAGTCTGTCACCCCTGCCCTCGCAGGTCTTTCCTGGTTAGTTTTGGCTTTGAAGCATGTCTGCAGTTTCTTCTATAGTCTCAGGCCTGATGCTCCTGGTCTGGTCTACTAGGTTTCTTTCCTGGTGCAGTGAAACCTAGGGATCCCACTACCCTTTGGCAGAGCTCCCAGGCTATCTGGATTGTTCAAGGCACAGCCAGCGTCATTCTGACCAAAGCTAAGTGCCCAGCACCTTAGCCCTGGGCTAAGATCACTCAGAGTGGTGTCTGGACTCTTGTGAAATTGTTTCTGCGCACACACCGCTTGTAGGATGGAGCCCGCAGCTCCTCCAGGATGAGATCAGCTCCTATCCCAGGCCCATCCAGGAGAAGACGGAGCCCTAGCTACCCCCAAGCCTAGAGCCCCGACTTCAGACCAAGTGGTTTATGCATAGAAGAGGGTCTTCCGGCGGGTTTTCCTAACCGGGCGGGAAACCACCAGGCGAATGCCTCTTCCCCAGCTGCGAGCAACTTCCTCCTCGGAGGTCCCAGGGCAGACAGAGCAGGGTGCAGGGCGGGGTCGCAGAGCAGGCGGCAGGGCAAGGCCAGCAGCGGCCACCGCCCGCTCCGCACCCCGGGCCCCAGCAGCCCGCGCTGGGAGGTCCGCAGCGCCAGCCGGAGCCCTGCTTCTCCCGCGGCGCCCCAAGGGTCCTGACCGGCCCTCCGCCCGCAGCCCGCCTCACTCACTCAGGCCAGACGCCAGCGCCTGCTCATTGGCCCACATGGCCCACTCGATCTGCCCCATGGCGAGGACCCTGAACACGCAGCCGTCAGGTTCAACTTTGCAGCCCACTCCACAAACCCTCACGGATCGGCCCGCCCCCTGCTCAGGCTCCGCCCCTTCGGGCTGTGCCCTAGAGGCCTCCTCTGCGCCTTCCCTTTGAGCCTTGGTGGGTGGAACAGCCACCCCATGGGCGACCTCCAGCTGGAATGTGCCCGGCTGTTTAGGAATTGCCTGTGACTTGTGACGGTTACCCCACACACACTCGTGCCACTGGAGCAGGTCATTTCACACAGCACCCCATGCTTATCAGACAAAGGCAGACAGATCCTAAAGGATGAGGTTACTTCCGACCCTCTGTGAGCTGGGGCAGGTGTGGCCTGGATCACATGACTAAGTGGAGGGAGGGGGACATGATATGCAAGGCTGGGAAAACCCAGAAAAGCCAGGGCGGCTGAACACTGCTGCTCTGTTGTCTCTCCCCTCTGGCCCGGATCAACTCAGCAGCAGTGGCATGTATGTTGGGGTATGGCATAGGCTCACATGGAGGCAGGAGACTCACAGGAGGGCTGGCTTCTGGGCAGTGGGACGCAATCCTAGCAGAACCTACTTCAGGCCCACCTCTCTACTACATGAACAAGACTGAACTCAATGGCAGGTAGGGACCTGAGCAGTCACTGACCTGGCGATCATGAACCCTAGAAAGATGGTTTATGAGGAAAACGCACAGCCAAGGCAGGCAGGCAGGCAGCAGCACACTTTATTCCTGGGTCATCGGGTCCATCGTCTGCACCTTCATGATGCACCCACACCCACAATGGACCCCACCCTGTGGGCTCAACAGCCTCCACCCTCAAGGGAAGGGGTCACAGGTCTTTATAAAGAAACAGTCCGTCCACGGTGTGGCCTGAGTTGGGAGCCTGAGTCTCAGTAGAGACACTGCTGTGTAGCCACCATCCTCCAAGCTTAGCTGGGGACTGAGGCCCTAGGAGCTTCTTCAGTGGGAGAGACAGACACCCCTTCCCTAATGAGCTCCTGTCTGGAATACAGGAAAGTCCACAGAGAGTTTCAGCAAGCCCTTCGGAAACCACAGGGAACGTGAGGCACTTGAGGGGACCCCGCCCCCCACCCCCTGGCTGTCTAGACAGTTGCCCATCACCATTCCATGTCCCCCAACACAGCATCATCATCAAGTAACCCACAGGTGTGGCCAGGCAGCACACCAGCTCCCGTAGCCCCGGTGAGCCAGTCTTTCCACATCAGCACGAGGGATCCATCAGGCATGGAAGCGGTCAGGGGTCCTGTTGTGGCAGGCCATCTGGGCCTAGCAGATGAGCATGCGAGTTGTCTAGGACTTGAGGTCCTGGTCCAACCTGGGGGAGGAAATCAGCATCTAGTGATGGGCAACAGCAGTAGCCCCACCCACTGCCCCAGGGACCGTACAAGCCAGTGACTCTAAAGTGGGATTAGAATGGGGGGGAGGGATGGAGGGGTCCCTCCGGGTAAATCCACACCAGCTTGTCCAAGCTAAGCCACCTGAGCTTCCAGGTGCCCCTCACGCTGGCTGGGCCAGATCCTGGGGATCTCTGTGGCCCTCAGCACATGACTGCTATAGAAAGCAGCGATTTAGAGTTAGCCACTTTGAGCAGGACCAGGAGACACAGGGATGCTGGCCTGCTTGTGGTTAGGAACACCCTGAGGGCAGAGTATTGGGGACCCCAACACCTACCTATGCTGGTGATAAAAGTGACCACTTTTTTTTTTTTTTTTTTTGGTTTCTCTGTAGCTTTGGAGCCTGTCCTGGAACTCATTCTGTAGATGAGTCTGCCCTTGAACCTAGAGATCCACCTGCCTCTGTCTCCTGAGTGCTAGGATTAAAGGTGTGCACCACCACCACCTGGCAAAGTGACCACTATTTGTCTTCCTGGTTTCTCTTGGTCCAGAGTTACTAGCCTTTGTATCCCAAACGCCCCCACTCTCCTCCTCTATGTGCAAGCTGTCCCTAAATGACCACTGAGAGGAAATGAGTAGCCCGTGTCTGATGACTCTGAGCCCAAAGAACAGCAGGTGACTACTTTCTGTTGATGCTGGCTTCTGCTTCCTACCTGAGACACAGTGGACGAGGGAGCCTGGGCACCCCCAGCAGATAAAGAGGTGCCTGCCAGGTACTGGGCCTCACCTGAGTGGCGATGATGTACTGGACAGCACCAGGGCTGGGCTCCAGAGCCAGCGCAGCTTTCAGCTCATCAGAGAGAAGAACAGGCGTCACCGGCAGCCCCTTTAGGAACCTAGGCAAAGGAAGCAGAAGGGTTTCATTACGCCAGTGCAGAAGGCCAGGTGGGCACCTCTTCAGAGACAGGGGTGCTGCGGAAGCAAGGGTGGGGGAAGGGCAGGGACCTGCTAGGAAAGAGGTTTCTTTTAGGGATGATGAAAACACTATAAATTAGAGATTTTGCAGAGCAGCACAGAGCAGTCAGACCAGTCCAGGAGGCAGACCTGCCCCAAAGAGACCAAGGACCACATGCATAGGCTCAAACCTGTTTGAATCCTATGCTTCAAAGTATCAGGTATTTAACACACCCATCAGAATGACTGATACATTTCCAAATAAAACTCAGATCTGGGCTGGAGAGGTGGCTAAGTGGTTGAAAACACTTGTTGCTCTTGCAGAGGACTAGAGTTAGGGTCCCAGCACCCACACAGCACCTCACAACCATCTATAATTCCAGTTCCAGAGAACTGATGCCCTCTTCTGGCCTCCAAGGATACTGCACAAATCTGGTGTACTGACATTCACACAGGCAAAATACTCAGTCTAAAAAAATTTTTAAATAAACAAATAACACGTTTTGATGAGGGAGGGCCCCTGACCTTCCAGGAACATTATTTCTCTCCTTTTGAAAAACCCATCATAGTTTGAGATAGGGTTTGAATTCGCCTCCTGAGCACTGGTATCCCAGGTGAGGCCACCTAGGCCAGCTGGGATATCCCTTCTTAAGAAAGGAATATGATATTTGTTCACACATCTGCAACCTGTGTGGCTATCAGGAGAGACTTTCCATGCTGCCATGTGCCGTGGCTGTGTCCCTGCAGGAGGACAGCCAGAGTCTCTGATCTCCTGGCTTAGTATTGGGTCCACCATTTGTTCCTAGCATGGTGCTCTGGACATCTCAAGGCAGGGAAGAGGGACACACACTCACTTGTCTCCATTTGTTGCAGGGGGGAAGCTGTGCCTCACGGCTGCCACAAACTCAGCCACGGTGTCATCCAGGGTGAAGACCACAGCATTGGGGCCCGCATCAAATGTGTATGCCACCTGGAACCCAGAGAGTATCCCAAGCTGTTCACTCAGTACCCTGAGCTCTGACCCTCTACCTGCTGGGGGACCTAGGGTCTCCCAGAGTTGAATAGGGCTCATGCAACCAATCCAGGGAGAGGTAGCAACTAATCACACTGGTGTTAAGTCACCTCAGTCTGGAGCTCAGGAAGAGGCTACTAGGCTACTAGGGTCACACAGTGTGGATTAGGCAATACACAAAACACAGAACAACCCAGAACTGCAGGGTGGAGCTTGTCTGTGCCATGTCTGCCATGGTCTTCAGGCCCATCCGGGAGGCCACTCACAGCCCCACCCACCTCCATAACCTTTGTCTGTCCATGTACACCACATCCCCGTCATCTGTCCATGCTCCCTGAGGCTGGACCCTCTGCTTGACTCCATCCCCCCCACCCTGTCACCTTTGTCTGCCCATGGTGTGTGTTAAAGCAGTGTACTAGTTGGATGATGCGCCTGGAGGTGTCATTGAGGTAGGAGATGGGTGGGAAGGTATCCAGGCAGGTGGCATGGAACTGGTTGCTGTCCTTCATGGTCAGCTGTGCAAAGGCCTGGAAGTCCCGCTCTTGGATGCAGCGGGTCATCTCCTTCATGCGCTCAGGCACAATGGACTCAGCCCGGAACTGCAAGGTGAGTGATCAAGTGGGTGAGTGGATACAACACTCTCTGCCGATAGGTCTGGCATAGGACCTCCAGAGCTTCCCCCACCAGGGGAGCCCTACTTGAGCAGTACACTTCCCTCTCCCCAGTAGACTCACCTAGAGCAGGGCTCTGGTCTCTACCTCCCCAGCAGGTCCTACCTTGAGCAGGGTACTGGTCTCCACACTGGTCTGCATGCCCACGGTGCTGCCCATCGGCTTCTTCTCGGCACTCACCTGAATGGGAGACGGCACTGGGCCCGGGCCACAGGGAACCCACAGCACAGCCCTATCACTTGGCCCTGGTCTCTGTCAAATCAACCCTGGGCTTCTGGTTAGGGAGGGGTGATGTGGGTCTGGGTCTATCATGGGGAAGGGCCACAGCCCTGCCGTGCAGGGGACACTCCTGATCCTACTAGCTACCACCAACAGCCTTGGTCTGTTCTCTAGCCCCTACTGGCCTAGGAACCTGGTGAATCCCAGATAAATACGGTCCTTCCATTCTTAGCCCAGCCCTGGCTAAGCAATCATCCTCCCGCTGGCTGCCCATCCACTTACCACGAGGATGAGGACTCGGAGTTGAGGCCAGTGCCACTCTGGGGCTATCTGCCGGGCGATGCTGTCCTTTCCATCTGCCTGTTCCCCCATCTGCCACTCCACGAAGCCCCCATAAAGGCTGCGGCAGGCACTGCCTGAGCCGCGCCGAGCCACTTCCGAGAGATCCCCCTCAACCCCGTAAACCCGCGCCAAGGTATAGGCTGAAGGTACAGGAAAGAGACACGGAGGCAGCGTGAGGGTTAGTGTGCCACACAGTTCAGCTCTGCTGGGTGTTCCCACCGCACAGGAAATGAGATTCTGAGGAGGCAGAGCAGGGGCTCCGGCATCGCCCAGCAGCTCCACACCACTGAGTTTGGAAATGTCCTCAGTCTCATAACCCACCTAGGGACGGACGGGGCTGGGGGAAGTTTCCTTGAGGAGCTATACCCACGTGGAGCATTAAGGGAAGGGGTGGCATTCAGAAGGTCACCAGGAGCAGGGACCAAGGTGAAAGCCTGAGTAATGTTTCTCCAGGAAGAGAATGGTGGCTCTGAGGGAAGACCGTATGGCAGGCGTCAGCCTGGGGCCTTCTCTGAGTCTAGCAATCTCAAGAAGGTGATCCTGCCTCCAGGACAGGCTTGCCTACACCTCCACTTCGGGATGATGCAGGAACCAGCTGGACCAGGAAGCTAAGGGATAAGGGTGGCCTGAGCTCACCATTGTGAGGACTGCCTGTGCCAGGGATGGGGATGACACACACAGTGACCTGAAGCTGGGCAATTCCCAAGGGAGCCAAGAACAACACCCCCCACCCCCCCACCCCCCCCACCCCCGCCTCCAGGTATTTTCTAGCTTCAGGTGGCTTCTGTCACTTGTGTCACCTGGGAGATGGAGGGCCCTCGCACAAGTGCAGAGAGGGTCTGGTGGTCAGTTGCATTCTGGGAAAGGGCAAACTCAGGGAGCTGGACAACGGGAGCCCTGGGTGCTGACAGTCAGAGGACCCCTCCTACTACAAAGCAGAACCCTGGGTCCCCTGGGCCCTGTGAGCACACACCTAGGCAGGCGTAGCCCGCTGCTGAGGATGCCAAGCCTGCAGCAGTGGGGAAGTTGTTCTCTGAGGCCACATGCACCTTATAGCTGAGGCTGAGGGGAAGAGCATCCCCGTCTCCTGAGCTCCTCCGCTTCCGAGCCAGGCGTCGAACTGCAGGGGAGAGGGCACAGTGAGCGGTCTTACCACGTGGCAGATGCGCTGGATCTACCTCTGTCACCTCATTTGCCTGGGGCTGAGATCTGTGATGCAATGACTCCCAGACTTCCCACATGGGCTTCCTCCTGGGGTGCTCCCACCCTAGCCCCTCTCTGTCTGCTACTAGAGGCTTCCTATAGGCACTCAGCATCCACAAGGGCACAATAGGAGTTGCTGTCATCCCAACTCACTCTCCCTCAGGCAGGCCTGGAGCCGTGGCTGCCCCACATCCTCCTCTTGACCATTGAGCCAGATGCGGTCTTCTGTGAAGTCCTTGCTGATGGCAGCGGTTGTGATGGTTTTTAGCTGGGAAGGAAAACAGGGGCCAGTGCTAAGGACCGGTGCCCACAAAACATCTCTTTCTGCCCAGGAGGCCTTTCCTAACTATGGTTAGCATGGGGCCCACTTGGGCAGGGACAAGCATGTGGGAGGTCAGGGGGCTGGGCTGCCAAGGTCAGACCTAGCTGGGCAGCAGGAAGTCAGCAAGCCCCTCAGGCTGGCCACACTATCCTGGCCTTCACTATGCAGGTGACATCTGTTTCACCCACGGCTGGATCATGGGTACCTGGTCCCTCTTGAGTAAGGAAGCTAGGTATAAATCTATCCCTGTGGCATTGGGACTTTGTGTGTGGATGAGGAGACAAAGAGACTGTGTGCTGGGCAGTCTGAAAGGAATTAGGACACAGGTCAGCTCCGGCTCTCAGGAGAGCCCACCCCATTCTATCCATCAGAGCTCAGTGTCTACGTGGTGCAAAGTCACCTGGTCCTGGTGCAGTGTGACACTCAGAGAGGAGTTGATGGGCAGGATCAGGGCTTCATCTCGCTTCCCCCCTGCAACGAAAATCCAAACAGTGAGTTCCTGGTGCCCCAGTGGCACTCCCCAAAGTTGTCTTCACCCCTCGGTAGCAGAGCCCCATCTCCACCCAGCTCTCACTGCACAGGCTGTACTACCACCCTAGGGACACCTCAGCACAGTTGGAGGCCAGCCCACCCCTGCCTCATGCTTCCTCCATCTTTGTTTCACTCCACAGCCAGCAGCCGTGGGCGTCTGCTAGGTACCACGTGCTCATGTGGATAGTGGTCTGCTCGTCCACCCACAGGAGCCCAGTTCCTGACCATGTCTCAGATGGCGCCAATAGAACGGCCCCTCTCTACCCAGTCCTCCAAGTCCCACCCATTACAGAGAGCACAGTCGACTCTCCAGAAAGCCAAAGGAAACACTACCGACAACACTCACAACACTTAGCCGGCGGTATCATGTCTTTGTTGAGCATCCGCACATGCTCTATTATTTTGGGATGCTCGGGCAGAAGATAACAAAAGACTAGCACTGGGTGGGTGGACCTGTCCACCCTTCCCCATCTACAGACATCTGCACACAGACAGCTCTCCTAGAGTCATGGAACCGCTTTGAGGAAGATGGAGCAGATGTCCTAACCTCTAAGACTGAATGAGGAAGGAAGACCCTGGGCCCTTGGTTCAAGGCATGGCTAGGGTGCACCATCTGGGTTTCTTTCTGCCCACTGGTCTCAGGCCAGCATCAAGGAGACCAGCAAAGGGCAGCTGAGTGAGACAAAATTTTTGCTCCAGCTTGCTCCAGCCTCACCCTCTTCCCAAAGCTCTGGGAGCCTGGCTAGATGGGGGCCCCATCCTTTCTGCCCTGAAAGTGTGGCAGGCTGCCCTTTCATCTCAGCTGGCAGCCTGGACTACATCCACAGGGCTGCTTGAACACGTGCTTCTTCTAGCCTTGCTGGAAGTTTCCAGAGGAAGCCTAACGGCTCCTGCAGGAACCCTACAGACCCCCCAGCAAAAATAAGTGCCATACAATGTGGGAGGACGCTCTCTATCTGCCAGAAAAGACACAACATCCCTCCTCCACCAGCTAAAGGTTTTCACAGAACTTGAGTCTCAGAGCACAACAGAAAACCATTAGATCTCACCCAAAATCATTTGCCATACCAATTGTCAGAGATGCCATGACTGCTGCCAAAGGTTTTAAAGCAGCCACCATGAAAATGCTGCCACCAGTGATCAGAAGCAAGTAAGAAAACAACTGCAAAGAGATGATAAAGCAGGAAATGGAAACCTGAGAGTTGAGCCGGGAACTGAAATGAAAGCTCGGGGCAAACTTAAAATGAACAGATGGCAGGAAAAACGCAGCCAGCTGAAAGGTGACTGACATAGAAACACCAGTCAATGGAAAGCATCCCACACAGCTACATGCAGAAGAAAAATAGCATGCATCTAAAAAGATATTTATTCTTTGAAAATTTCATTTATGTATACAACGTATCTTTCTTTTGTTGTTGTTTTCTTTTTTTTTTTTTTTTTGAGACAGGGTTTCTCTGTATTGTTTTGGAGGCTGTCCTGGAACTCACTCAGTAGACCAGGCTGGTATCGAACTCACAGAGATCCGCCTGCCCCTGCCTCCCGAGTGCTGGGATTGAAGGTGTGTGCTGATCTTGTGCTCTATAATGTTACTGAACACACTCTTTCCTTCTGAGAACTTTTGTAGATTCTTTGAGATTGTCTATGCAGACAAACAAGCCTTCTGCCACTAGGAGTAGCTTCCTTTAGTTTCTTCCTTTGGATCTGTGTGCCTTGGTTGCCTTTCTTGCCTGATTACAGTTGGGAGAAAAACATTGTATCAGGTAAGAGGATGGGGCTGTTGGCAGTGGACGTTCTTGAGCCATACCACTGGCCCTCAGGGAAATGGAAGCTAAAACTACATTGAGCTGTTGGCCTATCTGTTAGAAAGACTAAAGTGAAGAAAAATGGACTCCACTGACATGGGCACCAGAACATGGAAATCAAGATGATGGCCCGTGTACCTCTAGTAGGAATATGTGCTGGTGCAGCCACCTCCGGAGAACCCACAGTTCCTTAACAGAATGAAGAACAATTGCTACTCATTCTCCCAAAGGTGCTCCAGGTCATTTTCCCTCTAAAGGATGAACTTTCTGCCCATAAACGGGGGTAGCAGCTTCACTGGCAGCAGAGTCTGGGGTTGCTTATGCTGTGGCATAGGGCCCAGCGGCAGTGGGCAATAAATCCTCGCTGCATCCACCAGAATGAGCTTCCAGAAAGGTATGCTGAGTGAAACGAGTCAAACTCAAGAATCTACAGGCTGTGTGGATCCACCTACACCAGTTCTAAATGATGTAAGGCTAGAGGGATGGGCGCTGCTCCCTGGGGTTCCTCCCTAGTTGACAGGGTCATCAGGGAAGGGGGAAGAGCAAGAGGTTGCTCCTCTCAACAGCAGGTGCAGTGGCACCCGTCAACAGCAAAGCTTCAGGAGTGACAGTAGAGACCAGACCTGAGATACGTAGCATGTGAGGCCTAGGCTGGTCCACGGAGAGCCCCGCCTCTTCCTAGCAGCGAAAAGCCTTAATTTCTCCATCCCCAACTCGCAGTGGTGTGCCCCTCTCCAGCCCGGAGCCCAACCAATCCCAGCCGCGATGACCCTCCAACCCCGAGTCCCCATCCCCGCCGTGATGACACTCCCCATCTCCAGCCCTGGGATCTGAGATCCCAGTTGCGATGATCCTAGCTCAGCGCCGGCTGATCCCGGCCGTGGTGACGCCCCCTTCAACCCTGAGCCCCCTCTCAGCCGTCTCTAGCCCAAACCAGGGCCATGGGCCTTTCCCCTCCAGCCCTGGGAGCCTAATCGCGGGAATAGTGACCCTCATCTACTGCCCTTTGCCCATCGATCCTGGCAGCTGTGGCCCCTGTCTCCAGCCCCTCAGGATCCCCAATCCCGGTTGCAGTAACCCTCGCCTCTAGCATTGTACCCATCGATCCCAGAGGTGGTGACCTTCCTCTCCAGCCCTGTGCCTCGCCTACCCCTCACCCCAGCCGGGATGACCCGGTTCTCCAGCCCAGCTACTCTGGAGCGCGGCCCTCCAGCCCAGGGGATCCTGATTCCAGTCGTGATAACTCCGGCCTCCAGCCCTACGCTCCGATCCCAGCCGGGGTGACTTCCCTGACTCCAGCACTCACAGTACTTGATAACCGCGATGTTGACCGGCGCGGTGCAGGTGACGACTAGGTCCTGAGGCTTTTCCGAAGCCATGGCCGAAAGGCTGTAGTCAAAGATGCAGAGCCCAACACCGGTGACCGGTGTCCACAATCTCACGCGCTGCCATATGATTGGCCCACGGACCCGGCTGCTCCTGTGCTGTCCAATAGGCTGTGGGCCGAGCCCATGATCCACTTTTTAGCCTATGGACAGAATCGAATGATGTGCGGCCGACACTGAGCCCGCCTCCGCTGCCCCAAGCGCGTGGCCTCCAGCGAGGGGCGGAGTCTGCTCAGGGAGTGGAACATGCGCATGCGCCCTGTGCGTGGGTGGAATCGGCGCAAGCGCGAAAGACCTCCTGGCAGCCACGCCTCAGGATCGCTAGAGTGACTGTCAGCACGGTGGAGCCACCTGCTGCTGGAACAGCAGCGCTCATGAAGGGCGTGCATCCGGCTTCTCCGCTGCACACAACTCACTGGATTGCGCATCGCGAAGGATCCCCTGATTCGCAACTCAGGATCGTGCCAGAACCCGCATCCTGGATCCTTCTGCTCCCACAATCTGGGGTCCTACAGCCTGCTGGGCCATCCAGCTTGGATATGCTGCATCCAAGATGGGCATTTTCAAATGCCTCTTTCCCACGCTCTACATAAGCCAGAATTTTGTCACTTTTCATAACTGAAATGGATTAACACATTTTTATTTGTTAATTTTGGTTTTTCAAGTGAGGGTTTCTCCGTGTAACAGCCCTGGATGTCCTGGAACTCTGTACAACAGGCTGGCCTCAAACTCAGAGATCTGCCTGCCTTTGGCTCCTGAGTGCTGGGATTAAGGGCATGTGCCACTACCACCAAGTTTTTGTTTGGTTTGGTTTGGTTTTTTCAAGGCAGGCTTTCTCTGTATTGTTTTGGAGCCTGCCCTGGAATTCGCTCGGTAGACCAGGCTGGTCTTGAACTCACAGAGATCCGCCTGCCTCTTGCCTCCCGAGTGCTGAGATTAAAGGCCTGTGCCACCAACGCCCAGCTACTACCCAGTTTTATTATGGCAAAATATTCATAGCAAAAAATTGGCGTTAAACCTTTGTTTTGTTTTTTTAAGTTTTTAAAAAAATATTTTATTTGTTTATCGTATATACAGTCTTCTGCCTGCATGCCAGTGGAGGGCACCAGATTTCATTCAAAGTGGTTGTGAGCCAGCATGTGGTTGCCAGGAATTGAACTCAGGACCTCCTGAAGAACAGTCAGTGCTCTTAACCGCTGAGGCATATCTCCAGCCCAAACCTTTGTTTTTTAAGTTGCAGTTGAGTGATACTTAGTATCTTTCCTTGGTATAACCATCATCTGGAAAGTTCCCAGAACTTTTCATTCATTCTCCAACAGAAACAGATACAACTTCCCAGTTCCATCATCTCTTTTAAAATTTGTGGCTCTTAAATGGCTGAGGCTTCAGAAAATGCAAGAGTGCGAGATATGAAATACCCAGGTCACCAGTTTTGTTCCCAGGTGTATAGATGGTACCACTTCTTTTTTTAAAATATAAATATCTTTTTTTCAACAGAAACTCTTTTTTTTTAAGATTTTATTTATTTATTATGAATACAACATTCTGCCTCCATGTATGTCTGCATGCCAGAAGAGGGCACCAGATCTCATTATGGATGGTTGTGAATCACCATGTGGTTGCTGGGAATTGAACTCAGGACCTCTGGAAGAGCAGTCAGTGCTCTTAACCTCTGAGCCATCTCTCCAGCCCTGGTACCACTTCTTTAAAAGTCTTTGGTTGCTATTTTATACACAGTGGGAGGGAATTGTTCTTTCTAATATCCTGCTTTTCCTGTTTGTTTCTTGAACAATTTTCAGCTTGCTTGTTTGTCGAGATCATCTGAAATGTGTTCAGACTGTCCCCCTTTGAAGCCGTGACCACGCTGTCCTTGCATTTTGTGTAAGTGTGCTTCTGTAGAAAGATTCCTGGAAGTGAATGGCTCATCCAAGCAGACACGTGCCTGAGGCAATGCTGATAGCCACTGGCATGCTGCCATCTTGGAAGCTGGATCCATTGCTCGACTCTCTCCACCAGAGTATGAGAGTGAGCAGGCCTTGAGAAGCACCGTGGATGACAGCCTGTCACTCAGGCTGCAGCTAACCAGTGGGGTCTCCCTGTTGTTTCCTGGATGTGCGTCAGACGACCTTATTTTCAATTTCTATTGCAATCACTTTTCTGCTTCACACACAAACAAAAAGCCCCTAAGACTTCTCCAAAGGTGCTGTCTGGTTGCTCCAGAGGGACACCAGTCTCAGTGCCTTCACTGAGCTACCTGGTGGCAGGGATGGAGAGGACACCCATGCACCTTGCCTGCTTGTGGTGAGGAAGTGAAGACTTCTACCGAGCCTCTGTGTTAGACACTGAGCTAGGAGAACACCTGGGACCCTGGGTATCTCATCTGTTTAGAATTATAGTATTACATGATGTAAAGCTAGTGAACACAGCCAGGCAGTGGTGGCCCATGCCTTTAATCCTAGCACTCGGGAGGCAGAGGCAGGCAGATTTCTGAGTTTGAGGCCAGCCTGGTCTAAAGAATGAGTTCCAGGACAGCCAAGCCTGTTACACAGAGAAACCCTGTCTCAAATAAACCAAAAGAAAAAAAGAGAGAGCTGCCTCCTGTAAGCTGTCCTCTGATCTACACATGTATGCCGCAGCATGTGCATGCCCACACAAACAAAATACATACATATTGTATGTATGGATCTCTTGGAACTGGAATTGCAGACAGATGTGAGACACCTTATGGGCACTGGGACTCAAACCCAGGCCCTCTGCAAGAGTACTAAGCACTCTTTACTACTGAGTTATCTCTCCAGCCCACGGTGCAAGCCTTTAGTCCCAACATTTGAGAGACAGAAGCAGATGGATCTCTGTGAGTTCAAGACTAGTCTAGTCAATGTCTCAAGTTGCAGGCCAGATATGAGTATATAACATCAAGACCCCAGAATACTTCCCTTTGACTTGTATACATCGGACACACAGGAAACCATTTATCCAGCCCCCGTCTTTGCATTTTAACACAAAGTCAACTGTTGACTATAACCCCGCTGTTGACTTTGAACTCACTATATAGCCTGCATCACCACCCCTGGACAGAAGAGAATATTTCTGGTTGTAGAGGTGGCTCAGTGAATAAGAGCATGTACTGCCTTTGCAAAGGACCTGAGTTCAGTTCTTAGCACCCACATGTGGTGGCTCACAAGTAGTATCTAATGACCTCTTCTGGATGCTGTGGGCACCTGTACTCATGTGTACACATGTGCACCTATGTGAATGTGCATGTGCACACACACATACACACACACACACACAAATTACTTGCTGGGTGGTGGTGGTGCACTTTTAATCCTGCCTGCCACTTTCCCCAAGTCTGCCTTCTGTCTAAAATCATCACAAAATGTTGAGCTGGTGTGCAACTCTCCTGTGGGGTTAGGGATGTAGTTCAGCTGATAGTGTGATTGCCTAGCATGCAAAAAAAAAAAAAACCTCTTCTTCTTCTTCTTCTTCTTCTTCTTCTTCTTCTTCTTCTTCTTCTTCTTCTTCTTCTTCTTCTTCCTCTCCTCTTCCTCCTTTTTGTTTTTTGAGACAGCAGGGTTTCTCTGTGTAACAGCCCTAGCTGTCCTGGAACTCGCTCTGTAGACCAGGGTGGTCTATGAACTCAAGGATCTACCTGCCTCTGCCTCCTGAGTGCTAGGATTAAAGGTGTGTGCCACTACTACCTAGCTAAAACTCTTGTTTTTTATTCTGGGGTTTTGGTGTTACATAACCATGTCTGGCCTGCAATTTTTGATGTTGACCTGGCTGGTCTTGAACTCACAGAGATCCACCTGCTTCTGTCTCTCAAAGGCCAGGATTAAAGGCTTGCACCATGGGCTGGAGAAATGGCTCAGTAGTAAAGAGTGCTCTTGCAGAGGACCTGGGTTTGATTTTCAGCACCCACAAGGTAATTCATACCTGTCTGTAACTCCAGTTCCAGCTGTCTTTAATCTCAGAACTTGGGAGGCAGAGGCAGTCAGATCTGTGAGTTCAAGGCCAGCCTGGTCTATAGAGTGAGTTCCAGGACAGCCAGGGTTACACAGAGAAAGCCTGTCTCAAAACAAGCAAGCCAGGCAGCGATGGTGCAAGCCTTTAATTCCAGCACTCAGAAGACAGAGGCAGGCGGATCTCTGTGAGTTTGAGCTGGTCTACAAGAGTTAGTTCCAGGACATCCTCTAAAGCCACAGAAAAATCCTGCCTCGAAAAACTAAAACAAACAAACAAACAAACAAGTAAGTAAATAAACTAAAAAATAACCATAAAAAGAATAGGAGGGACAGGTAGATCTCTGTGAGTTCAAGACCAGCCAGGGCTACAGAGCAAATTCAAGGCCAGCCAGGGCTATACAGTGAGACCCTGTCTACAAAATGGAAGTATTTGTTAAACAGACACGAGAATGCTTCACTCCAGAAGGAACAGTTTCACCCAAGGGAAGCCTTGTATGTTGTCATCAGACACAGAGGCCAAGATCACCTCATAGGCTGAAGGACCCCAGTACTTGATATCATCCTGGAACTCTGTGTGCCTTAAAGCTAAGAGTTCATGAGAAGTGATCTCTCTATTCATCAAATGTTATAAAATGTCTGTCATATATGTGAAGTTCATTATTAGGTCAGGGATACACATGTATGAGACACAGGAAAGAAGGTCCTTTGGGGAGAGAAAGAGAAGGGAGGGAGTCCGGCCCAGTACTGGGCTGGGAGGCAAGCCCACCCAAGGCTGAGCTCCATCTGTAGCTTGGAGCTGGCCTGGACAGGCCAGCAGAGGGGACCAAAGTGCGGCTGTGATTTTCAGACAGGCCTTTCTCCAGGTCAGGCAATGGGAACAAAAACTCTGAAAGTGACCTAAAAGGGGAGGATTCTGTTTGTGGACTTCTGTGTACCTGCCCCTTGTCCCTTTGAACTCGGGTCCCAGGGAAGTCTTCAGAGGTCAAAGTCTTCCCAGAGCATTTGGCCTGTGCAATGGAGAGACTAGCAGAGAGGCCGGTTTCATCCAGGGCTTCTGGGCCTTGTGAAAACCAGCACAGTGCAGGATTGAACACATGCAGACAATCAGGCAGGTGGCTCTAGGTTGCCAGGAGTCGATCATTGTGCTTAGGAGGAGCTAAAGTAGGAAGGGACCTAGAGTAGAGGCGGAGCCTGCACAGTACCACGGGAGGAAGAAAGGTTGGGTTGCAATGAGCA